TCCCAAGATTCCCCGGACTGCCTGCCAGGGCCCCACCACGGCACAGCAGAGCCAAGCACCACCCGGCTCGTGGCCATCATCTACCAGTGGGATATCTAGGACTATATCTGGGCATATCATGCACCGAGAACACCGATGTGTACCTAAGCAGAGACGTCACCTAATCCTGCTCCCCAATTAACAAAGGAGACAGGTTCAAAGCGTCTATCTGATCCTGCCCAACAGTGGAGACTAAGTGAGAGGCTACCTTAGCAACATGAGGAGGAACCTTCATGACACCAGCAGGCAAACTAATCACAAAAGACGCTGGCTAATGTACCCACCGTAGTACAGAGGTAGAGCAAAAAGTCAATTGATCCCCCGTTAACAATCAGTATATACACACTGCTTCTTACCACTCACACTAACTCAGGGGACACCTGCAATCAACCAGGTAAGCCCAAGGATGGAGGTTAAAACAAAATGGTAGCACCTGAATACTGTCCAGCATAGGTGGCCGCTACCAACTTCATCGTTCCCCGAGGGATGTGACACACCTTCCCACCCTGACTCTAACCTTACCTGGGGCTCCCTCAGGTGCCTGCACTCTAGAGCTATGACACTGTTGCAGGGCCTGCATAATAAACGCAGGTGCCATAAACAATGAAGGCAACTCAAACAAGGCTGAACCATACTGCACAAAGAGCTCCTGATTGCACCTCTGGATCACGTTCATTCCCAAGACAGCAGGAACCTGACAAGACACAGCACCTGGGGGATCCTTAACCACCAGTACCCCCTACACTGTGACATCACCTTACCACAAAGTTCAACTGGGGGCTAGGAGGAAATCACATCCCATCACATTCCCAAGCAATGTGACAGCTGTTGACAACTTCTGCATATGATAGGACTACGCCCAGGTGAACACCTGCACTGATGAGAGTGATGCAAGAGGGTTACACTCCGAGTAAGCTGCCAAAGCTGCTCACGCTGACCTTTCAGCAGTTCCCTCAGTTCCTACATCTCAAAGTCCTGAACTTAATTACTCACGTTCTGGGGATTGCCCAGGACCCCACACTGAATACCAACAGCCAATGGGCCAGAATGAGTTTGGGCCCATGCACCACCTGGCAAACCTTCCCGTTCCCACCTGATAACCTCACTCCTAACTATCAGTATGGTAGCATTGGGCTGCCTGCGCACCATCAGCTTTAACTCACTACAGAGGGCACCGTCACAGACATACTCAACAAACTGGTCCCTCAACAAAATATAAGCATTTACCATCCCGCTAGGCGCACGCTGCTTTACTTTCTTTACTTACTTGCTTTATGGAAAAGAAAATCTCCTGCAAAGCTACATACAACTCTGCATACACATACAGCTCCAGCAACACAGCTGGGCTGGGGCTCCTGTTCCGCACTAGAGTGACATTTTTTCTCCTCACAAGCTTCCCCTTCCAAGTGATCAAACAGAACGCTTGACCGGACGTGAACAAACACTGAGCCCTCATACCCACTCATTCCTCCTTAAGCCACTCACTTAAACTGATACCTGATCATCCAATAAACAGGGCACTTTTGATCCCAAGGTACAAACACCAGCCTCTCCATCATGGGGCCAGTATTAATAGATGGAGCCGTAAATGAGCGACTAAATCCCTCAGCTCTTGTTATTTCCCCTCCATCATAACCTTACTCAGATAAATGTAGCACAAAACAAGATCAATAAGGCAATCAAGGCTTCAAAACTCACCAAGGGCCATTAAAAAAAGCTCTGCTTTGCCTTTACACAATTACACTAAACAATGTATTCAGTACAAAGCACAATAATAAGAGGATGGAACACACATCTCCAAGCAGAAAGTATATCTGGCCGACAAAGCCAGCTTGCAATGAACTAGCCCAATGACACATAAACATTATGATCAGCAGATACCAGTAACTTCCTGAGCTGCCAGCATCCCATGCTTATGTGCAGCAAAATACACTGACACTAAACAGAAATTAGACAACATACCAGTTGCAGACCATGAGACAGATGCTTCCGACAAGGAATCCACACAATGTGAGTCTAAAAAACAAAATTTGAAGCAAACAGTATAACGAATTGCCAAATACAGTGAGGAGCAGAGGGAGAAGATCATGGATGAGCCATCCCATATCTGAAACAATAGCAGAAGTCAGGTAACTGGAAATGGACCAGGCTCTCAGTGTCAGGTCCTCCCAAACAGCTGCTACTGACCTGTATAGGGAGCCTATGTCTTTGTCACCTAATTACTGGGTGAGACAATGAGACATATGGGATTTGCAGGACATCCTTGTGCGTCGTCATTGCCCCTTCTTAGCTCACATTTCACCATGGTTTTTAAGGTGTACCTAATTGCCCTCTTCTATTGCAGAGCTCTTGACCCTATGTGGAGTAAATGTGACTTTCCTTCCTGTGGACTCATTGTCTAAACTTCCTGACAAACAAAAATACAATTGTTTGTTTGATAGCATATACTGTTCTGCCAGGTAATTGCATTTGTGTACATTTTTCTGCTATGATTCTTTATCTACTTTGTCACTTAATAAGTAACTGTCTATTTCTCTGTTCCTTTAATATGCTTGATTTTAGAAACATGCATGTGCTGTTGTTTAATACATATAGCCATAATTTGCTTACATTTTGCATTCGTAAATGTGTACTCTTCTCATCATAGCATGGTTCACCAGCTGGGCCCATCACTGAGACTAATTGCTGCACCTAAGGCTGTCCTTGTTGTGGAACTTGCAGAGTGAGTATCTTAAATTGAACTGGAGATTGTTGTATTGCACAGCAATACTCCCAGTCTATTTTTAGGGATGTGCAAACAATATTGTATCATAACTGAGTATGTGATGTACACCTAACTGTAAGTATCCCATTTGCTTTGTCTTATTTGTGTTCTATGTTTCAGCTACCTGCTAGATCTTTCTAAGGAGCAGGTTGCTGGATTTGCAGAGAAAGTTGATAACATTGCCCGAGGAGCAGGGTTCAAGCCATTGGAAGAAATAAGGGGCATTTTTGCCACATATACACTGCAAGAGGGATGAACCCTGGCGACTATGATCTCCTGACATCATCTGTGTCTGTTTCAGATTGTCTTGGCTGTGTGGCTTCTTACTTATTATTATTATTGTCTGCCTATTATTATTCTTTCTGGAACACTTTGGTAGTGAGATTGGCAGTCACTGGTATGTGCTTACACTCCTCATTGTATTCACCACTAGCACTGTTTTCTTATCGATAATGGCTTCCTGTGACTGATGGCAATGTCCAGATTACTCGGAATACCTGGCAGCATAACTCATTTAATTTGGTTAAAATATTAACATTTCTTGGGCTTGATTGGTAGTGATGTGCTATCAATTGCATGCCCTCATATGCCCTTTATTATACTTGTGTTGTTAAACAGTTATATAATTTAGAGTTCCGCCTGTCAGTTGGAACCCGGGCAGGATTAAGTGTGGGAATCGGGTTTTTCGAGATGGGTTTTGCATAGTAAGTTTTAACATTACTGCTAGCTGGCTAGTGTGAGAGTGTGTTTCTTTCCAAGCAGACTAAACTTACATGAATGTATTAGTTTGTATTATTCTGTGAATACACATATTTTTTGTTGTATGAATGGACACATTTTATTTTTCCTGTCAAGTTTCATTTTTATCCATTTTAGATAAATGCATTTAATTGTGTTTTCTTCTACATCCATGAGCCCCCAATTTTCCCTTTGCTCTTTTAACTGAAAATGGGATCACTGAATTGCAAAAAGCCATGAGAACTACAAGCAACACAACTACAGTGCACACTACCATCCAGTCATAATTTAAATATGCATGTAAATGGAATACACTCTGTAGAGCAGCATTACCTAAAAAGTGGCCCATGACAGTCAAATGTTTAGCCCAAACTTGGCAAATCAAATTTGAAACAACTGTATTATAATTAGTGCTGTCAAACGATAATTTTTTTTAATCAGATTAATCACAGGGTTGCTGTGGATTAATTT